ATGAGTTTGTTTTACGTTTAAAGTAATCGTAACGAGTACGCGTTCGGTGCTCTGATTGGTTGGTTCATTGGCGCCGGCCAATCAGAGTGCCGAACTCGTACTAAGGCCTCTGATGAGAGTACGAACCTGCAAGGTATGGTCCTCATATATTCCTTGTATTCTGACTGTGCCACCTAACAAGGCTTGAGCCACGGATATCTGCAAACAATACAGTAAACTTGTAAACTGCGTGTCACCAAAATATTATAAAAATACTAACTGACTCGAAAACTGAGTGTTGTCTCAAACATTTTTTTCTTGTCCTTTTAAACCTTCCCTGGACTTTTACGAACATTTTAAGACCAAAATGAGCCATTTCGGTTCAGCCGTTCTCGAGTTTTAGCGAGACTAACGAACGGAAATTCATTTTTATTTATATAGATAACCAACTGACCTTAAATTTTTCTACCACAATAATAACAGCAAATTATGACTAAACTTTATAACCAATCTCAATTCAATGCTTTGCTGGGTTGAGATCTGTTATCGATACGATCTAAGTTCGAAAACCAAAATTAATCCAGAGATGATCGATTATTCTTATTTCGACCTTTATTAAAAATGTCTAATTGTCTATGCTATTCTAACAATCGCGCAAAAATGTGTAATTGGGTATTTGCCAACTAGTAAAATTCAATACTTTTTCGAAACGTCAAAAACGATACTGTTCTAGGAATTATGTACGAAATACCATCTTATGACGTCATCATATTTTCGCGTCAAATGGCACACCTAGATTAAGTATGTCGAAAATTAAGTATTTCAGCAAATCAGTGTAACTGTTTTTCAATGTTTAATTAGACTGAAAAATCAAAATAATTTATTTTTGACCCAGGAAACTACCCAATTGGGTACTTGCCAACTATGTAGTAAAATTCAATATTTTTTTCGAATTTTGTACGAGATTGTGCATTGTGACGTCACGTTTTTTTAGAGTCAAACAACATACTTATTTTTTTTAATTTGCTGGAAAAATACTAAAATTAAGTTGGTCATAAAATCAATTAACGAAAGTGTAATCATTTTTTAACATTTTATTGTATTAAACAGTCGAAATAATTTATTTTTGATTAAAGCAAATACATAATTTTATAGCCATTTTTTTAACTGAAGTTGTTACATAACATCATGCATCTTATCGCTTGTTATCTGAGTAATACTCACGGTACAATCAGTATGTACATCAGGCCCGTCCCTGTGGAAGTAATTGGATTTCTCCACCTTGAAGGTGACGAATATCTCACTGTTGTTCCCGACCGCCATACGGACTGTCTGTCCGTCTTCTACCCCAGCCGGCACTGGCACTTTCACTTTCTTGCGTTGAACCTAAAAAATAAAAATATTACAAATAATAAGTTTTTATTTTTATAATAACTATAGTGAGTGACTATGACGTGAGTGACTCACGTGAATAAACTGAGAAAAGCTCTACTAGTTTCGAACCACAGAGGGGTTCCTCAGTAGGCTGCGCGACATCGCCGCGACAGCGCACGCTGCTCATGAGGAAGCAGTATCACTCTTTGGTTTGAAACTAGTAGAGATTTTCTCAATAAATTATTCTCAACTATTTTAAAATATGTCGTAGATTAACTCGTCGAGTACCGGTTTTGTAGACACAATTATAGAACAATAGGTTGCGGTCACCGGTGACCGCTTGGTGTTTGACAGTTTAAATAGAAACATGACGGAATTCAGAAAGAACATATTTTACAGTACAAGCGTTGTTAAGTTTTTTGATTCATTAACATTCGTTTGAATCGAAATGACACTTGCGACATCCAGTGAACTTGACGTGAAATATTTAAAGTGTCGTTTTTACATATAAAATAATCTTGTTAGTAGACTCGTATTATTAATCGAAACAGTGCCATTTTTTCATTTTATCCTCGATATCTTCAACTTAGAAGACAATTAAGTGGAAAATCTATTAACACTTTTGCACATGCTGCCGACAGAAATCTTAAGTCGCAGGCCACACTAACACAACGCGTCTTGTCTGCGATGAGCCGGAAAAATAATCATGCGTTTTGAATAGGAGGGCTAGTTGCGTCAACGTGGCCACTCGATTGATTGATTTTTCCCGCTCATCGCAAACGCAAGACGCATCGCGCCGTGTGTTCTACGATTAAATGTTGATGTTCCTCAGTTCATCTCAGCTCAGATATGTAAAGTAAGATACTTACCGACTGTCCTTTCCCCTCACACTCGACGCAAGGGAACTTGATTAGCATTCGAGTTCCATGGCAGTGTCGGCAAGTGGAGCGCATCACAAATGGACCTGAGAAAAAAATATCTTAGAAATATTTAAAAATTAGTACCAATATGATGCATTTTTAAGCTCACTTATGAATGTAAATTGTAGAAAGTGGAATAGCAATAAGCAGATGATGATGATGATGATGAATCTAATAGTTAAATATTATTAGCTAACTCTTGACTTATAATTATTTGATAATACCCAAGCTTTGGTAGCTTGTATTTTAATGAAACCCTAGTTTCTGACGGCGGTTATGGCCTAAGAGGAAATTGTGACTTCGGGATCATCAGAAACAGCTAAGGGCAGAAGATTATGTCATGTTTCGAAATTGTGTATCACAATCACATGAGTATTAGGCCTACATAGAACTATAAAAAAGCGCCGTTTGGTCTACGGTCCATGTGTTGTGGAAATTATATTGCCATTTGCGTTCAAAATACTTATTGAAATGTACTTTACGGCACTGTGGCATTCTTATTTTTACAAAAAAGCTGTCTAAATAATAATTGTAGAAAATTGTGAGTAGTATAATTTTGTTCTAACATTTTTCTCGTAAAATGCACTGAACAAGAGATATCGAAAAAAACAATTTTGGCCGCCATTCTTCCAAGATGGCGGCGAGAGTCACGCACGTACACGGTTGCAAAATGGAAATCAAAATTAAAAAATTGCCAATTTTAAACACAGAAAACATTCCATGCAAAACTACGTAATTACTGCACTATTAATAATATAATATCATATTTTTACACCACTTTAGTTTATAGTGTGTTTTCTTTTATATTTAATTATCTTTCAAATTGTCGCCGCCGGCGCACCGCCGTCAATTTTGCCCGGATTGACCCCTGGGTTTTATCATGTAACTTAGACTGAATATAAGTTTATCGAGCATTAGAACAATATAACTTAATTAAACCTACCTCGAGAGAATGTTTCCATTCCGGTCCCGTTGCAGTAAGTACACTTAATGGCTTTAGTACCAGGCTCACAGCGGGAGCCCTGGCACTTGGTACATGTGTCCACTACGTTCACATTAATGTCTTTGGTCACACCACGCGCTGCTTCTGTGAAACGGAGGTTCACTACAACCTGAAAGTCACAAAGTTGATATAACTATAACTTTGACATCACGGGTGGAGCAGTGGCTACGCAACAGGCTGCCATGCTGTGTCGCAGGTTCGATTACTGCATGGAGCAACTCTATGTGATCCACAATTTTTTGTTTCTGGTCATGTGTATGTGAACTTGTATGTTTGTAAATGCACCCACGACACAGGAGAAAATCATAGTGGGCAAGTTTTATTTATAAAAAAAAAAAACTATTCTACACACAGGCAGAGGTCAGTTAAAGTAAAAGATATCTAAAGAACACAGGGTCAACTCCTAATCATGTGCTACTTATGAGGAAAGTTGAAAGAGATAACAAAGCAATTGCAATTAATAAGCAAAGCTATTTCACTTAGTATGACTGTATTTGCACAATAAATCCTAATTAAAAAGTAACTAATAAATATTGTACCTCTTGTGCAGCTCCAAATCCAAACTTAGACTCAGCAAAATCACTGAAAGCCTCACTTTTGAAGCCAGCATCACCAAATATCTTCCGAAACAACTCTTCTGGGTCTATGGTAGACTTGTACTGCCATTGGTGGGTGAAACCATCAGCTCCTGTAGGCCCACCACCCATTCCCATATCATCCGCAGTAGTGCCAAATGTGTCATATTGTTTGCGCTTGTTTTCATCAGACAGTATCTGTAATACATACACATATATCAGAACTGTTTTTTTGTAAACACTCTTTATTGACCCAATGATAAGTAGACCTTCAAACGGTATTATCACAATAAATTGACAAATCTTGAATTATAAATGGTATTTTCAAGTGTATAATATGTTTTGTAATGTGTCCCTTACCTCATAAGCTTCAGATACTTCTTGGAATTTCTTGGAAGCTTCTGGATCAGACTTATTCGCATCAGGATGATACTTCTTGGCCAACTGGTAGTATGCCTTCTTTATGTCCTTAGAAGAAGCATTCTTAGCGACACCGAGGACCTTGTAGTAGTCAGCTCGAGCACTCAAATGGTTCGTCGTGTGAATAAATCGAGGTCTGCCACTGATATTATCTGAGAAATATGAAGTGAGGTTATGTTTCACGAATGTCAAAGTGGATATTATTGATAACATAAACTGAACAATTCGTTGAGATGATCTAATAAAAAACGTATTCTTTATATTAATACTTATCGAACACGAAATAAATAATAACCGGTGATGTAATAAAAGCATGTAAAACTTACAATTTTTACGTGCTAAGGAAGCTGCGGAAATAGCCGGACCGCCCAAAAATTTGTCACAATTATTACATCCATGCACATAACGATATGGAGTTTTTACAATACTATTGGTGAAAACCGTACTAATAGTTTTGGAGTTCAAAAATCCTAAAACACTCCGATTTGGAGCCATCTTGAAAAATAAATGACAGACTGAGACATTGACAGAATGACAGGAAATTGATTGAAACTGCCAGTGTTGCACTATACCTAAGATAAATAATCCCAAACTGTGTTCATAAGTAGGTACCAAAAATCTTCCCTTTATTTTAAGATTCTATAACTTATGATTCTTCGTAAGATCATAATTTCATTAGATCAATGCATAGAATGTTTATAATATTAAAGCTCATCACATTGGTAGTCAACAGCCCATGACATGACAATCAACTGCTGGATATTACGAACGGGCTTCCGCTATGAAAGATTTGCTATAATATCCACGTTTGTAAAATTAGACTAAAGATCACAATTTAAAAAAATCAAGTTTATCAAAGAGTGATATTGCTTGGTATTTAGTTAGTGAGGAGTAGGTACGCAATGATGAATATAATTATTTTACTCGAACACTGACCACCACTATTACTTGTTCACTACAACACATTACATAATTATAATGTTTTTGTTTTTGTTATATTTCTAAGAAATTAATCACTTCGCAAATACAAGAGTTGGCGTACTTGTCACTAGGACAATAATAAGAGAGTAAGCTACAGTATTTGCGAAATTGACTTATATAATTAGGTATGTGGTTAGAATCAATTCTTTTCGGCGTGTAACCATATACCTATCCTCTATAGGCCTGATTCGTAATTACACCACAATCTCAATATCTATATCAGTGTTGCAGTTGTATACCTCATATGAAAGCAAGAAATGTAGATGTTTTGTTTAAAAAGTGCACTACAAGTGTCATAATAAATTTTTATGTTCGGGAAACATATTTTGATTCAGAAATCAAACTTATATATATTATTATTGTGTATTTCATGAGTAGAACTGGTAAATAACCTACTTATATAAGATAATTAAAAAAAAAGAAAATTAGGTCAAGTGCGTTTCTTTTTTTTCTAGTTTCGAGCCACCGCAGGCGCCTTTATCAAATTAAATTAAACGTTTAATATTTTAATAACCGACAAACAAAAATGTATCATTGATATGTTCTATAACCCCACACGAGATTGTGATCTAATATTTTTTTTAAACCACCCTTTTTTATAAGTTGATTTCGCAAAAAATGTAGGTCACCTTCTTTTGGCCGGAAGACATGGAATATAATTACATTCAGTTTTTTCGTTATTGTATGTAGTTTTTCTAAATATTCACCAGCCACAGATTATATAATATCTGTTTAAGAGTCAGTAAGAGTCTGACTCTCTATCGTCTCACCCAAGGCGGGAGAAATCATTGAATAATTTACCACGTCAAAAAAGGACCTCTCTTGTTAAAATTTATCCGTTTTATTTATATAAAAGATTATGGAAGGTAACTCGTCTTCATGGCTGCTATTGTTTATAATTTTGTTATTTAAATTATTTGATTTCAGGAATGATTTTATTCTACCAGAGAATAGGGAAATTTAAATAATATGTAAACACCACATTATATAAACTTTATTACCGGTATTGCCAAGACGAAAAGTTTAAATTCTACCGTACATTTATTTTTTATGTAGTCATTGGGTATAAGATGAGTGTAGAAAGTTACCATGATAATTTATTTTTCTAATTTTTTATTAACATCCAAATTGATCGTTTAAAAAGAGACTAATTTAGCTTTTGTTATTAAATATTTTTTCAAAACTACTATTCTACGGAATCGAAAGTTTTTATGTTGACAACACTATTTTCCTGGGCAACGGTAGGCAAGATGATTTATAAACAAAAAATGAGCTTACAAAATGCCAATTATTGTATTGAATTTTGAGATAAAAGTTAATACATTTACAACTAAACTGTAGTGCGCAATTTATAAAGTTAGATACAAAGTAAATAACGCATACGACGACCATGGCTTCAATGCGGGATCAAAAAATCGAACAGCAAGTAAGTTGTTTCAAATTAATTTATTTAAAATCATATTTAACTATTATTATTAGGATGTTTTGTAGATTTATCGTGTTGTCTTTACGAATATTTGCCAATTAGTATTTTATTTGATAGTATCTCTAGATAATAATGTAATTTTAGCGGCAAATGATGGAACAGAAGATGAAACAGAAACGCCAGAATTCTGGATTGGTTCAGGCAAACGATCTCAGGGTAGGGTCTGCGAAACGTCCAATATCAGGCAGCCGTTCCCGGGAGCTCCATGGTGAGTGTTAATTTAATTTTACGTTGTTATTAACAAATGTCTAAATGTTTAGTTACTCATGCATGGTTTTTTGATGTATATTTTCGTTATGCGCATTTTCTTTTCCTTTTATGACAGGCTATGATGGTCCGATGCAATTTCTTATGTCGCCAGTCAATCCGGACCAAGTTATACCTCTTCAAACAAATAGAATATCAACCTTTGATGGTAAGTAGAACTGGGCTTTCTTTTTCTTATGAAACATGATACTTTCGCTTCTCTTTCTACATTTATTTATATTAGCATGATTGGTGTCAGTTTTTTGTATTAGGTATACTTTACATTCTGTCATACATTACTGCTTGAAAATCGGGGTCCTGTGCCATCATACAACAAAGTATCTAACTGAATCCTCAACTTTACTAAACCTCACCCAATGACTACTCAACCATAACTATTCATATAATTTCTTTTAAATAAGTTATTAAAACTACATAATACTTTTAATTGTAATGTGTAGCGACTCTACCCCATAGTCAAACCATTGCAACGGTTTTGTGGGGCTTAGATTATAAAATAACTTACCTTTGTGATATGAAGATAAATAAATTAAAGAATAATAATAAACAGGGGGGCTGTTAGCCCCCTGTAACGCTTTTCATAATACTAAATAATAATACTACATAAGTTATCTGTCTATCCATGACACTGGTTACCGGTTTATATTAAATTTAATTTTGTGACAGTTTTATAAAATAAACAAATACAACTTTCTTTGTCTTATTTTGATAATTATAAACAATTATATCAAGAAATATTACCTAACTGATTTAACTTGTAATCAATACACAACATTTAAATATGTAATAATCCATTGTAAGAAAAAATACAAAAGAAATTGTTTTTTAACAAAGAATATCAGAACAATAAATTATAATAAATACAAAATAATACAGAATTTTCGCAAACATATTATGTTCTCAAGGATCAACAATTGTATAGTTCAACCTTGTACTGCAGATATGGTGAATCATAGCATGAATAAGTTTGTTATTGAAACCATGGTACAGGAAAACATGTTATTCATTCATAACTTGTAAACTACCTATCTGGTTTTACTATGAAACTACTACCATTGTTTTATTCAAATATTGTTCTAAGGATTTTTTTTCTGAAAAAGGAGGTTTTATGTGTGGGTTTGCGTATCTATGTTTTGTTTTTTTATAACCGACCAATATTCTTAAATTAAATTTTTTGTCGTTGTAAATTATAAAGAGAATTTTATTTTATTTTCTACTACAAATGTTTTTTTTACAAAACATTGTTTTTCAATGCACTTAAAAACGTTTTTGGCTATGCACATTGTTTAAATAAAATTATACACATATCCACTATAAAAATCAATAAGATCTACATATATGCACAATGCTTTCCACAACCCCAAGAATCAAACTGGAGACAGCGCTCAGTTATCACAATTTAATAAATTGTAACATTGATTATAATTAACTAACAATAGCTTTTATTAGCACTTTACATAATTATACTATGCTGTCATCAAGAGAATAATTCTCTTTATGTCTCTCCAATCCATTGTCAATGGATATTAAATAAAATAATACAATACTCAAGATTATGTAATTAAAACAGTCAATACAATACCTAGAATTCCAAACTTTGATAAATCAGTTTTCAATCTTACATCTGAGATCATAAAGTATTGAATTGAAGTGTGATTAATTTGTCTACATAATATTTATTAATAAGAAACATTTTAGCATTTAAGTGCCACATATAAACACTTGTCTTGTAATGCATTGAAGATGCTACGTAGACTACATGTGGAATTATACAATAACGCAAATTTGTTTCTTGAAGTCCACACAAAGAAAACAAAAAAATTGTACTTTATGGGTAGGGTAATTGCACCATTATTGGACAGTGTTTAATGACTTTAATCTCTATTACAAATACATCTAAAATTAAATTGACACTTCAAACAGTGACTAAAAAAATCACCAAATTCCAACATTAAGTTTTGGTTCAACCTCGAATACTTCTATGATATTTCCTATACTATTTAATAAAACCAACGTTTTCCTTAATACATGTATTTGTGTACATAAATTCTCCAATGTTATGGGATAGATTTGAAACTTCTAGAACATACTTCAAATACAAATTTTCGCAGAGCTAGGCAATCAGATCGAAGTCCTGACGGTTGGTGAAGGTGATGGTAGCGGTGAGGAAGATGAAGAGAGCGTCCCAGTATGTAGCGTCGGACGGGACGCTAGTACCGACGATGTGTGCGCCGACGCAGCTGTCGCGCCGTTACACGATAAGCCGCGAAGGGACAGTTCACCCACACAGGTAAGACTATCAAAAAAATTATGCAGTGTTTTATTTAGAGCTTAGAATATGCTGGCGCTCTTGAAATAAAACTAGGTAGTTGGATATAAGTTATAATAGTTAAGTTATGATTTATTTTTATTTTGTTCATTTTATTTATATTGTATAAGTTTTTTTTTTTAATTTTAACCTATACTTTTTCATTTAACCCATATTTTCCAGTCATTTCATATTACCATATTCCATTTTTTTTTATTTTGATCATTTTATTTTATTTCGTGGTCTAGTCCATCATTTTTATTTTATGTATTTATTTTTGTTTTGCTTCAACTTTTAACCAGGTTTACCAGAAGTGGTGTAAAACCAAAAGCAAAAGCAAAAAAAAGAAAGATAAAGCGCAGGCGCCAAAGTTCGCTTCAAAGGTTGGGTTTTTTTTCATCCGTAATACTCATAATGACAAACTAGGCATGTGCCTAGGGCGTTAGGTTACAGAGCGCGTGCCCAATTGCCCATAGAATGACGATGGCGCCAAAAACATTAGGGGCATCAATGAGGTGCTTGCCTAGAGCGTTCTCTAGGTTTAATACGCCTTTGTCACCTACACTAGTATTGTAGGAGACTTTTATATTTTTTATGGTTAATACTATCAGTGTACATATCGGTTGGCTTACGGGCCGTCTTATGATAAGCGGTCACCGTAGCCTAAGTACAATAGGGACAGATCCGCCTGATCAGCTTCATGCCTTTATGGGGGCATTGTTTAACGCTTTTGCCGGGTACAATCTATGAAATTTTAAAATGATCACGTGCATCTGTCCACTACTGTACACCTGCAACACCAGAGGCATCACGATTAGTTCCATTGTGATAATTATAAATTATAAAAATATAAAATTTGAAGAATGATATAATACACACGTATTACATCATTCTGTAGTCTAGTATTCTTTCTAGCCTATACGTTTGACGCAGTAGCTAGGCAACCGGCGGCTGCTGCAGATGTCGCGGGTTACAATGGTTAGCTTGACAACTGGTCGTTGTGGGTTTGATTCCTACAAAGAAAAATGCATTGTGTGTGTGTGATATTAATACGTGTGTGACATGCATGATCAATTTGTGTGGATTAAAAAATAGATATTTATCTTTTTTTTTTCGTTTTGTTCTGAAACAGGCTCCGGAAATTGAGGGTTCAGTGGAAGGTGCAGTGGAACAGTTTGTGGTAACACCAGCTAAACATGGCACGCTGTACAAATGTCGCATCGCCAGGGATCGGAAGGGCATGGACAGGGGCCTCTACCCTACATACTTCTTGCACCTCGAAAAGGACTATGGCAAGAAAGTGTTTTTGCTTGCCGGTGAGTAATAGTTTTACTATTTGCCTAGTTATTCTCGGTTCAAATTCCAAGCTGTTCTATGCATGATTTAAACCGTGAAATCTATTTCTTTATTGTCCCGAAGTAAAATGGTTCTGTCTTGGTAGTACAATAGTTTTATAAAGAAATAAATTTGTTTAAAACAAAAAATAACTGGTGAACCATTGCAAAGAGCAAATTTCGAAACCGCATACGAACTCATAGTACATTCTCAAAACGCGCTATGTAATTCTCGAAGAGTACTATCGTACCTATTTCTCGTCGGGTGACACGTGTGAATAGTGCAAGGCCGGTAATGCATTTGTACCGCCTCTGGTGTTCTGGGTGTCCATGGGCGACACCGATTGCTTATCATCAAGGGATCCGTGTGCTCGTTAGCCGGCTTATCCCATAAAAAAAGACTCGGGTTTTTGGAAATTTCGTAGGTAAATAGTAGCTCGTAGCCTTGGATGGTGTCGCGGAAAACCTAACGGGTAACCGGGGCTCCGGCTCGACGTGCAGGAGAAGGAACGGGGTGGTTTTTAGTCAGTAAGAGTCTGACACTCACCCAGGCGAGAGCAGTAATTCGATGATTTTGTCCCCTTAAAAAAGGCCTTGGATGGTACTGGCCAATCAGAGCGCCGATTTACCGCCGTTTCGATAACTTTTACTTAACGTAAAACAAACTTCTACTAAGCTCTCAGTCATAGTCCTTTATGCCTTCAAAAGTACAAGATATTTTTCTTTACTTAAAAGGTCGATATATTTAGATCTGACTGTCCTGGTGGTAAATATTCATCAATAATTTCCTGAAACTACACTTCCATGTAGCTTATAATTTTCTATTCACGTTAATTGATTTTCTTGATTAAATATTCGTGGTTAGTCGTTCATTATCTAAATTATTTGGATGCCCCATGAACGTTAGATACATTGTTAGTTTAAGTAATTTGATGGCGGATCCGATATGATTGGGGTGGGTGGAAATAAGCCGGTATAGTGACCTAAATGACATCGTGTTTTTTGAAAGATTATCTGTTATTTTTTTGTATTAAAAACTTTGACACTAACTGCTGTACTCACTACTCATAGACATAAAGGGCCGAATATTTCAATAATCAGTTAATTCTTAACTGTATAAAATAAAATTGAATGTTGACAGTTTTTAGTATGGAAGAATAGATACCTAATTTTTATTTTCATATACGTCTGGTAGATTATTTTAAATCATTAGATACGTATTTTTTTTTATTTTGTCGATAGATCGGATTTGGATTCAAGAGTAAACCCCCAGATCGTGTAAATACTATACTTAGGCGCGTCTTAAAATTCAGTGGCCTTTGAGTATTTGAGCGTTAAACTATTGCTTAATAACAATTTTGTTCTGAAAACAATTGCTGGGGACAGGGTTAAGCAACCATTAAATGTCTCTTAGTACGGCGATAACAAATATAATTTTGTCATGTGTTGTAAAATTCCACACAAACATAGACCAAAAATTTGTGGATAAAAAAAAAAATAATAAAACCGATCCGTGTTGTGATCGAACCCACGACACATTGCAAAACAGCTGTTCGCCCAGTCACTGCACCAAACGTGCAGATCTTTTATTCTTTGTTAGGATAGGCAGATGTGAATTGACGTTCCCACATTTTGTGTTGTTATTACTTACCCCTATTGTAATTACGGGTGAACCTATTGTCATACACTGAACTCAATTCCAATCACCGTGTTGTAATATGTATGAATAATTTCAAGGTCGGGTAACCCAATAGTACTTTGATATGTACATATATCTTTTCTCAAACTTTGTTGCAACAATAAAACACTCCACTAAAAAAAAATGTTTTTCAATAATAGAGATCTACAGATTATATAGTAGAAATCTACCAACTAACAATGCACCATAGCTATTATTAAAATCTAATACAACTTAGGACCCAGTCATGTTATAATCAGTCATTAATTAATTAGCTTTTTTATAAGTCACTAGCTTTTACCCGCGGCTTCGCTCGCGTCACAAAGGATAAAAAGTAGCCTATGTGACATGTACCAATACACACAGCGCCATCTATACCAATACTTTTGTTTTCCCTCGGGAATATCAATTTTTTCCGGGATAAAAAGTACCCTAT